GGGGGTGCCTCTGTGTGTGTGTGTGTGTGTGTGTGTGTGTGTGTGTGTGTGAGAGAGGAGAGGATCTTGGGATTGGAAGATGTCACTGGTGAGGGTAAAAAAGGGTGCAAGGGTGTGAGGTAAGCTTTTGGGCGGGGGCGTGTCATCGGGAACAGGCTGACAGTGTTCAACAAAGGTAACGCGGGCTGTGTGCATCAGGAACGGGATGGATAAGTACGGGTTCGCACAGTTTATGAACGCAGAGGGGAGGGATGGTCAGACACTGGCTGGACAGAACGAGGATGGACTGGAGAGTGACCAAAGGACAGGATGGACAGGAGTGAGGCAGTGACAAGTAACAGCCGCAGCATGCAGTGCAAGTGAAGACTGATGCCGAGAGTAAAATGTATGAGCAGCATAAGTGTAATGTGCGGCAGTGCAGAGAGAATAGATGGGCTCAAGACTCAGGTGCTGATCATGGCCATGTGCTGGACTGACCCAGAGAGGTGAAGGTAGGGAGCAACACTCACGTGACCCTCGAATGAAGTGATGTAGTTGGTTCTTTGTCGAAAGCATCCGGTGCTGGTTCTTGCTGGGCCCCACACTGGCCGTTAGACAAAAAGACCTGTCCAATACCCCAGGGAGCTGAAGTACCAGTCTAGGAGGTCACTTTGCCTGCGAATACAGGCTTACAGCACCTGGTTCCCAGCACATCTCCTGGTTTCGACCCCTGTGTCCAGGTTCCGAGCTGGTTTTGAGCTCTGTCTCTGGTTGGAGCTCAGTCCTGTCCTGGTTTCGAGGTATGGACGTGGTCTTAAGCTCTGGTCCTGGTTTCCAGCTGTCGAATTCCCTGCGGCTTGGCAGGTAAGTGGTGCTGGCATCGAGTACTGTTGGTTCAAGTCTGATTGGCAATTTATGCGGAGTCTGGGTGGCCATGAGGCCATAGTTCTTCGCTGCTCACAGTCTGCTTCTGTGCAGGTGCCAGTGAAGCATTTAGTATTCATGGTTCATGGGATTGGACAGCGACTGGAGGCGGCGAACGTTGTGGCTGATGTTTCAAATTTCAGGCAAACAGCAGCCGCACTGGCAGAGCAACATCTGTCTCCACACCAAAGGAACTCGCAACGTGTGCTTTTCATTCCCTGCCAGGTATGGTTGGCTACGACATCATAGATCTATATACACCTTCCAGCTAGTTGCATGGTTGTGTTGATTACAACTTCACAAATTAATCAATCAATTATTACAAAGACGTATGTATCTATTTGTTTTCATTTTCCGTCATAATCCTCATCCTTGTCTTTTCATCCTTGTCCTCATCCTCGTCCTCATCCTTATCCTTGCCCTCCTCTTTGTCCTCAGCATTGCACTCATCCACCCCCACCTCCTCCTCCTCCTCCTCCTCCTCCTCCTCCTCCTCCTCCTCCTCCTTGTCTTCAACCACCACCACCACAACTGCATGCTCTTCTTCTTCTTCTTCTTTGACGGACCTTCAGGAAAAACTGAGACTGAGTTTTGAAGCCCTTCGACGTAGGGTGAGGGAGGAGAAGCTAGCGAGGGTGTGCCTCCTTGCCGGAGCTCGTGAAAAACTGAGGCATAACCTTGAGAAAATCAAGGATCTGGAACAGAGGCTGAGTGAAGAGGAAGAAGCAAAGGCATCTGTGCAGACTGAACTTCTGACGAAGCTGGAACAGTGTCAGATGGAAGTGGAAACTCTGCGACACAGGCTGGGAAAGGAGGAGCAAGCAGAGGCATCCCTCCGGACATCCCATGAGCAGCATGAGGGTCTCGCGGAAGTTGCTAGGGCTCTAGGACTGGCTGTGACCGAAGAGGAGGGAGCTGATGAGTCCGTTCACGGAAACCTTTGGTGGGGGAATCTAAGGCAGGCTCTTGTTCAAGTGAAGGGCGTTCGGCTCAGCCTGGACAAGGCAAAGAAACAGCAGATGCCACCCGGTCCGTTCAGGCAACCGCAGAAGGTTGGTGCTCTAGGATCATCACCGAGCAAGCAGGAGAAAGAAAAGATGCCCCTCAGAAGGGACGTGACGAATATGTGTCTCGAGAATGTTCACGTGGATGTTCGGGAGAAGCGGAAGTGGAGTGTCCATGAAGTAGAGGCTTCACAGCATGAGATTAGTGAGGACGAGGTGGCTAGAGTCCATCTTCAGGCTGAGCTTGAGGAACTCGGACAGAAGAATGTGAATGAAGTAGAGGCTTTGTGGCGGCAGCTTAGTGAGGATGAGAAAAGAGCTAGGGTCCATCTTCCGGTTGAACTTCAGGAAATCAGCGAGAAGGTCAACCCGAAGGAAGTAGAGGCTTTCCGGTGGCAGCGTAGTGAAGAGGAGAAAGCCAGGGTACATCTGCAGGTTGACCTTGAGGAAATCAGACAGAATAATCTCAAGGAAGTAGAGGCTTTGCGGCAACAGCTTAGTGAGGACCAGGAAGCAAAGGCGCATCTTCAGGCTTCCGCCAAAGAAGTCAAGCAGAGGAATCTCAAAGAAGTGCAGACTCTGCAAGTCAGGGTGCGTGATGAGGAGCAAGCAAAGGAGTTGCTTCACGTTGACCTGATGCAGTGTCGCAAAGAGGTTGAGGCCTTGCACTGTAGACTTAGCGAGGAGGAGCGAGCGAAGACAGTGCTGCGCACGGAGTGCGAAAAGAAGCAGAAAGAACTGATGGAAGCCATGGAAGCTATGAGACTGAGGTTAACTGAGGAGGAGAAGGCCCACAAGTCTCTTCAACAGACCCTGCAGGAGGAAGCTAAGGCTCTGCAAGTGCGGGTGCGAGATGAGGAGCGATCAAATGAGTCCGGTCACGTAGACCTGGTGCAGTGTCGCAAAGAAGTTGAGGCCTTACAGTATAGACTGAGCGAGGAGGAGCGAGCGAAGACGTTGCTGCTCGTGGAGTGTGACAAAAAGAAGAAAGAACTGACGGAAGCCGTGGAAGCTCTGAGTCTGAGATTAACTGAGGAGGAAAGGGCCAAGGAGTCTTGCCTGCAGGCGGTGAGGAATGAAGTTGAGACTTTGCGAGCCAGGGTGCAAGATGAGGATCAAGCGAACGCATCCCTTCGGATGGACCTGATGCAGAGTCGCAAAGAGGTTGAGGCCTTGCACTGCAGACTGAACGAGGAGGAGCAAGCGAAGACGGTGCTGCTGATGGACTGCGACAAACGACAGGAACACCTGATGGAAGCCCTTGAAGCTGTGAGATGGAGGTTAACCGAGGAGGAGAAGGCCAAGGAATCTCTTCGCCAGGCCCTGGAGAAGGAAGTGGAGACTCTTCAAGTCCAAGCGCGTGACGAGGAGCAAGCAAAGGTGTCCCTTCACGTTGACCTGATGCAGTGTCGCAAAGATGTTGAGGCCTTACACTGTAGACTGAGGGAGGAGCAGCAAGCAAAGACGGTGCTGCTCATGGAGTGCGACAAAAAGTGGAAAGAGCTGACAGAAGCCATGGAAGCTGTCAGCCAGAGGTCAGCTGAGCAAGTGCAGGCACAGGAATCCCTTCAGCAGACACTCCGGGCGGAACTTGAGACTCTGCAAGTCAGAGTGCGTGATGAGGAGCAAGCAAAGGTGTCCCTTCACGTTGACCTGATGCAGTGTCGCAAAGAAGTCGAGGCCTTGCACTGTAGACTGAGCAGGGAGGAGCGAGCGAAGACGTTGCTGCTCACGGAGTGTGACAAAAGGCAGAAAGAACTGACGGAAGCTGTGGAAGCTGTGAGACTGAGGTTAACGGAGGAGATGCAAGCCAAGGGATCTCTCTTGCAGATGGTCCAGAAGACAGAGCAGGAGAAGGAACACTTACGCAGAGAACTTGAGGGCTGGATGCTGAAGTATCAATTGTCCTCTAAATGCTTGAACGAGCAAGACAAACGTATAATGCTTTTGTTGGTGGTGATATGGGTTGAGGAAGCATGTCACCGGAAGAGGCAAGGCGATATGGATAAAGCGAGAGCGGACCTGGAAGATCAGCTAGGATCTCTGCGCAAGGAGTTGGAAGTGTGGATAGACAAGGGAATGGTTTTGGAGGAGGAGCTCTTCAAGAGCGAGCAAGCTATCATTGAAATGCAGGCTATGGTGGGGGATCGGGAGGATGCTCTCTCAAGGGCGAAATGCCTATTAGAAGAACAGAATGCTGCCAGGGCAGAGGTGGACCAGCAATTGCACATCCAGGTGAAAGCTGTGGAAGAGATGAAAGATCAGCTGCGAGAGAGGGATGGAGCGATTGCAGATCTTCAGTGCATAAGGGATGTGATGACCAGCTGTCAGCAGCTCCTGTCCAACAAATTGGAATCGAGTCAGAGCGAGATCAAGTCGCTCCAATTCAGACTGGAGGAAGAGGAGCGAGAGAAAGCTCCGCTGCAAATGGAGCTCGAGAAGAAGGAGAGGGAGGGGCAGGCTCTCAGCGTACGACTGGATGAGGAGGGCAAAAAGATAGTGTCACTGTGCATCGCCCTGGCAGAGAAGGAGAAGC